TCGCTGTGAGCGTTCTCGCTTCCTGTTGGCCGAGCAGGCGCTAATGATGCGATTCCGATAGAGCTGCACAAGCGACTCGTCGAATACGACGTGCCTGTGCAGCAACACGATCGGCTGGGAGCTGTTGCAGTGCATCAACTGTGGGGTGAGCCTGGGCGGGGTGCTGCAACAACAGATGCAGGCCGCCCAGTCGCAGCTGAACAGTGCGTCGCCTTTCTTATCCGACCCTTGTGCCTCCCATTGACGATCAATCAGGCTTCGTGTCAGGCTGTGACGAAGCTGGCGCCACCATCTCCCCGCTTACAATTGGTGTGACCGCAACGCCCACCATGACAAGCTCGTCCACGCTGACCATGATGACTAATAACACAGTGAGTGCGACCGCGGGCCAGGCTGGACCGACCCCGAGCGCAAGCCCGGCTACGCCCACGGGTGCGGCGCGCAAGGGCAAGAAAATACCGGGCGGCATGGTCGGCCTGCTGGCTGGCGTAGTGCTGAGTGTCTGGATAGTCGGCCTGTGATAGCCGACTTTGGTCAGGACAGCACCATCCCAGAGCGGTAGTGCTCATTGTATATCTAGTAGACGCCAGGATGCCCCGGCGTGATTGCTGCGATCTTCATTTACCTCGTTTGGATACCTTGATTTGTTCTATAGACTATATCTGGACGATGGTGTAGACTATAGATGGGTAGGAAGCATGATGTTTGTTTGCATTTGTAGGACTAGTAATAGGCACACTGGGTCATATATGCACCATTGGCGTCCTGTCCGCCAAGCCGACCGTTCCCCCGGCCAGCCCTAATCAACAGGTGTCGCTCCTAAGCACACGGCGGGTGGATTGCGTATTTTGCGTGGAGCGGCGGTCGAGCGAGAAGACGTCGGAAGGCGCGCAGACTAGTGCCGCTCGCGGCCCCGCCCACAATTCGCCACCGGGGGCGCATGCCCGTTGAATCTTGCGAGCGCGTCTCGGCACCCCCGTCTCCTCTTTCTCAGACCACCACCATCTCTGCATCAACCGCATATCTGCAGATAGCAGCCTCGACCGCTCCGCACTACCCACCTCAAAAACGATCTAGAGCATAAGATGGCGGACGCCGAGGACCAGCACGACCACGACCACGAGGAGGCCAAGACGGAAGACGCTACCGGCCCCATCAACGTCAAGGTGCGTCTATGCTGCTGCACCCTCTCCCCGTGCCTGCCATATATGCTGACCCCACCCGCGCGCAGGTCGTCACGAGTACTGGGGACGAGGTCTTCTTCAAGATCAAGAGGAACACCAAGATGTCCAAGCTGAAGGGCGCCTACGCTCAGCGGGTTGGCAAGGACGTGCAGACTATCCGGTGCGTCGTGCCACCCCATCGACGCGTTGGTCCGCACGATCTCCGACGATATGCTGACCTCCTTTATCCAGCTTCCTGTACGATGGCGAGCGCCTAGGGGAGGACGATACGCCTGCTTCTCTCGAGATGCAGGATGGTGATACGATCGACGTGATGGTTGAGCGTGCGTCCTTTCCCTTCAGACAAATTTTAGCTCGTGACTCACACGCGCTGCAGAGGTCGGTGGCAGCAGGTTATGATCAATCCCCTTACTGTCTCCCGCCGGGCCTGCGATCACATATCAGATGGATGGCGACATGTCCTGCTCCTCCCGCGCTGTGCCGTGCTCGGTAGAGCGCGTGCGCAGCGGGGCCGCAGCTGGACAAAGGTTGTTGTATGCTAGGTTGTGATGTCTGAATGTCGAAGCTTTACTCCCGATGTGCTCACGCCTCTATGCTGCCCATACCGGGCCTGAGCTCGAGCTTGGCACCATCTGAGTCATTCGCTGTACGTTGGGGCGTTCTATTCGCTCGATAACGCGTCGTGGGACGCCTATCGATGACTGCCACGTCAGCGGACCGACTGGGAGGATCAATTCTTTTGCTGATGATCCGCCTGTCGACCGCGAGCTAGTCGACCTGCCTCCCCTCTGCCACTCCCCACCATCGCGCCCCCGTCCAATCACCAGTCTCTCGCTGCCAATGAGCTCGCGCCAGCACATTCCCCTCCCCTCGTCCCTCGCTGCCAAACCCTGGGCACGCCTCCGCCCAAGCGGCTGATCAGCAAATTTCCGTATAAGGCGGGAGGGCGATTCTGGCGTATTCCGAGGGGCCGCGTGCGGTGCACTGCATCCCGGAAGAGGGGAGAAGGTCGTTCCCGGATGTTCTGGCTACATCCGGCAGTTCCGATACGGAACAATGAGAAAATTGTCACTGGCGGTCGGGTGGATAGAGCTGCGAGAAAAGGCTTGGGTGGCAGGAATGAGCGTCACCTGCCCGGGAGGGGCGTGTGTGCAACTGAATTGAACTAGGCACTAACTCCGCTGTATAGCGGCGCACAAAGGGCTCTCGCATGACGTCTTTATGCACAAAGCGGGAAAGATAAACAATGGCAAACGCACCTGGATGCCGTCATCTCGCGTTCTCCCCGTGACGGGCAACACTCTGCATGTCAGTGCACAGATGTTGAGGTGTACAAAGAGAAGAGTCATTATTAGATACGATACAACATAGAGAACCAAAATGCTACAGTAGGTCCGCGACTTCGCCAGGAAACGCACCCATCCAAGATTACGCACCCAACTTCGGGCCATCCCGCCTCCAGCTGAGCACCCACCTCCCTTCCTCAGCTCTTCGGAACTACAGCATCACTGTACATCCTGCCGCTCCTCGTCCTCCGCGGCATATCCTCCACCTTGAGCTGCCCATACGCCTTCTCCTTCTTCCCACCCTTCGCGGTATGCTTCTTCCGCTCCCTTAGCCCGCCGCGGAACACGAGCGGGGCGACCACGCCCGGCCCGACAGCGAGGATGCCGCCGAGAGCGCCGAGCGCTTCGTACGCGCCCGCCTTGCTCGGCCAGGCGCCGCGCCGGAGGAGGCTATACAGCACGAGGAGGAGCGAGACGTGCACGGCGTCGAAGCCGATGCTGCTCTGTGCCGGGTGGGCGAGGAGGGTGTCCACGAGCGTGCGCAGATCGCGCCACCCGCCCTTGGGCAGGGCGCGCAATGCCAATGCGCGGATGGCAAAGGTCGTCCCTTCCAGCAGGCCTAGGAGCGTGCTGGGTGCGAGGGTGCTACCCACGTCTTCGAGCTCCCTCACGACAGGGGACTCGAGTGGGAGGAAGGGGATGAGCAGAAGACCGTGCAGGAGGAGGAGGTTCGGCATGAAGGCTTCCGCGCTGAGGTAGGGCGTGTACAGCACAGGGAAGAGCGCGGCGAGGATCGGGAGGTACGTGGTGAGCCGCAAGCGGGATCGCGGTACCGGTGGGTCCATAGTGGGGCTGGAGAACAGCGCGAGGAAGAACAGCGCGGTAGCGGTTGAGATGGCCATGAGCTGTCCCAAGAGCGGGTACAGCCAGAGGTGGGGGATGCTGTGCCGGCGGCCTTCGATCGCGACGAACGCGCACCAGACGACGGTGAACAGGCAGATGTGCGAGCTCCACCACCAGTTCTCAGGGGTTGAGCATACGTGCCGCCAGGCTTCGTCGAAAAGGGAGGTGCCTTCGAGCCAGGAGGCGAACTTGAGCAGGAAGGGGGCGGTGAGCGCGGGAGGGTGCGCGGAGAGGTAGTTGTAGTATGAGAACTGGAGGAAGCGGATCATATCTGCTGGGCTGTCAGTGCTGGCTCATTGCGAGGGAAGAGCATACGCACAGTACCATGTATGCGCTCCACTCGCAAGCGCGCCCAATGCGAACACTCCTCTAGCGACGAGCCGCCCGTCGCCGGACCTGGGCCGCGGAAGGGTGCAGAGGACCGCCCCGAGGAGGAGGACGATGGTGAGGAGGTAGGAGGAGAGGATGGAGATGTGCAGGTAGTGCGAGAGTGTGAGCTGTGACAGCTGGGAGAGGAGGGAGGACATGGTTGCTGGCTGGGGGTTGGGTGGGGCGCTCAGCACGCGTCGGCAGAGGGCAGGGTAGGCGGCAGGCGCGGACTAGCGGGCTGGGCAAGGGTGCCAGGGACTAGCGCACGGGTGGTCGTTGCGATTCAAGCTGGCCACGTGAGCCCCCGATGTCGCACTGAATATAACGACGGGGGGCGGCTGGTTGCTGTCTCGCGGTGTTGGGGCGACGAGCGCTGACGGGGGAGGCGGGCAGGGCGGGCGGGGCGGGGAGTTGATGTCACTCGCCTGTCAGTGGTCGCGGGCTGGCACCCGTGCTGGAGAACGTGTGGCGGTGCATCAGGGAGACCCGGATGGGCGCTTGCTTCGGCGGCTGGCCTGCTTACTACCACTGAGCTAAGAGGGCTGTTGTGGTGAAGAGGAGGGAGGGGCATCGCTGCCCCTACAGCTCTTTATATCTATCAAAGTGGCCTTGGACGCAGTAACAAACGCGAGGAGGATGCTACTAAGCACCCGATGCCCGAGGACCATCATGAGCCTCCACTACGGCCCACGGCGTATTGTCCTTTCGCCTGTTCCTTCTTCTTGTTGTTAAGGGATTTGCGTTGCTCTCCAGCCGATTTGAGCGACTGACCTCGACATGACCCCGTTAACGGAGGAGGTTACCAATGTCGCGCTCTACCGCTGAGCGAGCGAAGCGGGCTGTGCGATGTTTCAAGCCACAGGGGGAGGAGCAGAGTCCGATGCTAGCGGGAAAGGGAGCCAAGCAATGTAGACCATATGGCTCCAGACCTCGTCTTGGAAGCGACCGTCCCAGAGTTGACGACACGTCGTTGTCAGAGACCATAGGTCCCCAAGGGGTGTAACAGCGCCCACCGCGGAGAGGAGTTCGGCGATGTTGAACAGCGCGTGCATGCACCCTGAGCTTGCTGTCTGGGCGTTGGGTTGTTCAGTCTGTCCACGCCCAGTGGGCCGCGCTAGTGGGTGACGAGCTCGGGGAGGGGCGTGCGTTAACGTTCGAGCGGGCTGATCAAAGGATTTGTATTGCGGTCTGCGCCCTGGAACGGTGAGTCGCAAGACGTGATGATATATATACTACCTGCTGTGGTTTCTTCATGCAAGCCCGTATAGCTCAGTTGGTAGAGCGCGACACTAGTATCTTTAGTATATGTCGAGGTCAGTCGTTCAAGTCGGCTTGTGGGCAGTCACTTTTTTCTTGGTAGCGTCCTCGGTAAACGGGGCCGTGCCAAGGTCAGTCGTTCAAATCGGCTAGCGGGCAATGCTCACTTTTTGCGTTATGTGCTCCTTGTTTTGACCCTACAGGGATTTTTCCCCGTCCGGCATAAATTTATTGGGCGAGGGGATTATGAATGCTGGCCCCCGAACAGTTCACAGTATGGAATGTATAGCAAAGACTGTCATTTGAATGACTGGGTGTTTGCAGGGCGCAGAAATCGTGGTCGCCTTGGGCAAGAGGTCACGATATGGTGAACACGCGTCATGCCGGAAGCCGGCTCATCGTGCCGGGAGCAAAAGTCGGAAAGTCCGCTCCCCTCTCCTCCATCTTCGACACTACTCGCCGGGTTCGCCTGCCGCAATCACTCGCTGCTCCCTGCGCCGGCAATCATGGCCTCCTCAACGTCTGCACCTCTGTCGGAGCAGATATCCAACTTTGTACAGCACCATCAGCGAGCAATCGCCGTCACGTCCGTTGCGGTCCTTGCCGCAAGTGGAGTCGGCTACTATTTGTACACTTCGTCGTCGGCACAGGCCAAGGTCAAGAAAGTAAAGGACCAGGCGAAGGCAAAAGCAGAGGAGAAGGACGAGGAATGGGAGGATGTGCATGAGCAGGGCCCTGCAGCGACTGGGGCTAAAAAGCACAAGAAGAAGAAGAACAAGAAGAAGGCAGGCGAGGGTGCCGCCGAAAAGCCAAAGGAGACTGTGCAGGTCGAGGATGAGGATGGTGCGCAGATCCATGGAGATATACGGATATGTATGCTGACATACGTGCGTAGGATTAGGTCCCAGGCTGACAGACGAGGAGATTCAGGCTTTGCCAACCGAGGTATGCCATACTCAAGGCGGAGACCGTTGAGCGCTCGCTGATCCCTGTACAGGAGCGCGCGGCTATGGCTGCCACCCTGAAGCAAAAAGGAAATGCGTCCTACCAGTCTCGCAACTTCTCCCTCGCTGTCGAGCTCTACACAAGAGCCATTGCCATATCACCGACGCCTGAAGCGGTGTTCTACTCCAACCGAGCAGCTTGTGGGTAATGAACATTGTAACAGGTGACGAGAAGCTCACATACCTTCAGGCTACGTGAACTACTCGCCTCCTCAGCATCAAAAGGTCATCGAAGACTGCAATGAAGCGCTCAGGCTGGACAAGAACTACGTGAAGGCGCTGAACAGGAGAGCGGGTGCACACGAGGCGCTGGGCGACGACATTGACGCACTACATGACTTCACCGCCGCGACGATCCTCGATCGTTTCAAGAATGAGACGTCTGCGCAGGCGATGGAACGGGTGCTGAAGAAGGTCGCGAACAAGAGGATGTTGGAGATCCTTTCTACACGGGAGCCGCGCCTACCGTCCATGACCTTCATCTCCTCCTACCTTGCGGCATTCCGACCGCATCCGAAACTTGTACTTCCAGAAAACCCTTCATCTGGAGACAAGGCGCTCGATCTGGCATTCGACGCTCTTGAAGCAGCCGACTACCAGCATGCGTTCACCTTGGCCAACGAGGCCGTTGAGCAATCCCCGTCGACCACGCGTGGGAAGGCAGAGGCCCTTAACCTCAGGGGGACATTCAAGTGCGTGTTTCACGTGTTCGCCTCTGTTGATGCTCAACCTCTGCAGATTCATCCTGGGTGAAGCAACTGCCGCGCGTGTCGACATGCTCGCCTCCATCGATGCGGACCCGACGCTGACCCAGACCTGGGTCAAGATCGCTAGCGTCCACATGGAGTTGAACGACTCCGATGCGGCGTTTGCAGCATTTGACAAGGCGCTAGAGTACAACAAGGATGATCCCGATATCTACTATCATCGTGGACAAGGTGAGGATCCAGTATGTGTGCATATACATGAAGATTGACCATTCTCCTAGTCCACTTCATCATGGGCAACTACGATGCCGCATCCGAGGACTATGAAAAGTCCGTGGCACTCGACCCCAACTTTGTCTTCACCCACATCCAGCTTGCCGTTGCCAAATACAAGCAGGGCAACATTCCGCAGAGCATGGCAAAGTTTAGGGCGGCGATGCGGCAGTTCCCGCAGAGCAGCGAGCCGCAAAACTACTAGTGCGCACATAGTTGCACAGGATGTTGTATCATTGCTGACTCTCTGGATAGCGGCGAGCTGCTCCTCGACCAGCAGCGATTCCAGGACGCGGTGGAGAAATTCGATCGCGCCATCGAGCTGGAGCGTCAAAAGCCTCGTCTACGAATGAACGTTCTCCCGCTCGTCAACAAGGCGCTCACCATTTACCAATGGAAGCAAGACACCGCCGCTGCCGAAGCGCTCTGCCGTGAAGCGTTGGAGATTGATCCCGAGTGCGACGCAGCGGTTGGCACACTTGCGCAGTTCAGCCTGCAGATAGGCAAGCTCGAAACTGCGATTGAGATGTTCAAGAAAGGAGCGGATATTGCAAGGACTGCGCCGGATCTGGAGAATGCCCTCACCTATCAATATGTGTGTATTGTCCGTCCACTCTGGAGGCACGAGGATCTGACAATATGACATAGGCTACCCAAGCACAGATGCAGTTTGTGAAGGAGTATCCGGAGATGGCAACCCAGCTTGGCCAGATGGCTCGGTCTCTCGCTGGCTAAAAGTAACTATGTACGCCTGCACGGGGAATGACCCGACTTTGGAATAGTCATGTAGGGCTTGATTGACACATGGTTGATTCGTATTTACCACCTCGCGCGTTGTGTCTATAGTCTAATGCTTAGCACTCTACTCACTCATTAACCATAAGTTTCCCCATCCTCGCTCTGATCGCTGTTTGTTATGCCGTTGCGGCCGCCGTCGGGATTTTCCTCATCTTCATCAAACTCTTCGATCTCGTCTTCGCTTTCGCTCTCGAACCCTCTCTTGATCACTTGTGCTCGCCAGTTTCTGAACCACTCGACCTCCCGCAGATTATCCTTCTTGGAAAGGCCCAGAGTCTCCAGGAACAACGGTCGCAGGCGATACCTCGGCGGGGGCGGGGGCGAATAGCGCCCATCGTCGCCATCCTTCTCCGAGTCCGACGGCGTCGCTGGTAAATGTTCTGGTGAAACCGGCCTTCCGCGGGCTTTTGTCGGCGAGGGCCTGAAAGGGTTTGATGATCGCCCAGAACGTGCGGATTGCGCAGACCGCGCATGATCCGGTGTGAAAGCGATGGGCTTTGTGGGTGTGATCTGCGGACGTGTGACGCTTCTCGTGAGGCGCTTGGTCGGCGATAGATCTTGCTCCTCGGGACGGCTTCCAATGCCGTCCGCCATGTCAATAGTGGACGCTTTCCGCTTGAGAGATTTCGTCGGCGTGAGCGCAGGCTCTTGATCATCCGGAGATGAACCGTGATAATGAAGCTCTGTTTTCTTCTCCAAGGCCGCCTTTCTCGCAAAGCATCTCGAATCCAGCGATTGTAGGATGTTCGTAAGATCGACGAGACGCATGTTCTGCTGGACGCAGAACGCTGCTTTCTCGATTGGATACTAATGAGAAGTTATTACGTGAGTATATGCCATAGATAGGCGAAGGTATGAGTACACGCACCTTGAGCGAATTCAGCACCCACACGAAGATCGCCTTCGTGTATCTCGGATCATCCACCCCGGTATGCTGCCCACTCTTCGCCTTGTCCAACAACCGCTCCCACTCCTGCATCGTTCGATTCATCTCTTGCACCGTACCCTTGCTCACTCCGAGGTTCCTGTAAGACAATACGAGCGACTCGAAGGATATAGTAGCCGGGCGCAGTCGCGTCTTTTGAGGGGAGGATGATGCCGATTTCTGCACGAGGAGATTGCGGACTGCTTTCAGGCAGTTTTGAAACTCGCCTGGACGGCGGAACGATGCCTTCTGAGCCGACGCTACTGTGACCGCATCGGATCCGGTTCTGCAATCGTGTTAGACTTGTCTTCTCGTATGCGAGGGACATACATACTCTTGACAAGCAAGCAGCGCGGCTATGGGTGCAAGAGCAGTCGCGTTGTCGCGCAAGCTACCCACTGTTGTGGCAAGCATGCGCAACCTAGCCAGATAGTCGCTAGCCACCTTGACCAAGTCAATATCGTTTTGCAACAGCTGCCTCAGCCGTTCTGCATCTTGTCGGGCAGCCATGCTGTGAGTGACGTCGAGCGTTCGACGAGACCGTTGAAGGACACGTTCGGCGCGTCGCGGTAACGCGTCGTAATGAACTTCAGGCGACCCTGGGTGCGGTCATACGACCAGCTTCAATGCACACGATCATCTGAGCTGGCGACCATTCTTCCTGCCCCTATTTAGCTTTCCTTGTTTAACCTGGTTTCGATGGGCCATTGATCTCGCCGGCTGCACCGCTGATAATGCGCCTTGCAGCTTGCTTCGTAAGTGCTACATGCCTGGCAACCATCGTGCTCGGCGCTCCGATCGAACAAGCCCGACCCGAAACCCCGCCTCTCAACGTCTTGCGCTATTCGACTACACCAAACGGGTTCAACAGGCCCCCTCGAGGATGGAACAGCTTTGGTATGCAAGTCGGCATTCAGTCGGCAACCCACTTCGCCCTGACTCAGAACGACACCGTCGCCCAATGTGACTTGCTGGCAGATCCGGACGCCCTCGGCGGTGCGGGATACGAATACTGCTCGCTTGACTCTGGCTGGTCCATTGGGGATCATGGAGACGAATATGGACGCCTCATGTATATCAAGGAGCAGCTCGATCTACCTGCCTTGGCGGATCATTTGCATGCGAAGGGCTTGAAGCTGGGGGTCTACGTTGTACCCGGGGCATTTGCGAAGGACGCCAATAAGACGATCTATGGGACGAATATCCGCCTGAATGATACCTTGAGCGGACACAACAACGGTCTTGCACGAATAGACTTCAACTACAGCCGAAATGGTGTACAACAATGGCATAATTCCGTAGTTAACTTGTTTGCAGAGTGGTGAGTCCGCATCACTGTATCCCAATTCGCCCGCTAAGTGCACAAAGGGGTGTTGA